AGATTTCTATAATTACCAATTTATCCGAAGTTTTTTTCTTTTTTTTTTTAAATTAACCTCCGGTGTCAGAAAATCAAGTTGCATCCAAATTATTCAAAACTTGATACGGAGATTCTTTCCTTAATTCAAAATTTTATTTAAGAAAAATTTAATTTCTCCCATTTGAATGAACTAACAAACAGATCGATAATGCCAACCGACTATGTGGCTCAATTGGTCGGCCCCAAGCTTTAGGGCTTGGGTGAGGCTCAGGCTTCGAATTTTGCTACCGCCGTGAACTCCACCAACTTGCAACTTAATGGTCGCGCACCTCAAATGAGGGGTGAAAGTTTCACTTTCCTGAAAAAATTCCAGCTGCTAAGAAACTAATTCTACTAACTTCCTAACTATCTATCTGGTCAAAAAAAAAAAAAAAACAAACAAACAGATCGATAATAGTTTTTTTAGTTAAAATTTTATTTTAGTCTTTAAATTATTATATTAACTTTTGATTTGATTCTTAAATTTAAAAAAATTTTGATTTAGTCCTTATTATTTATGATTTTTACCCCGATTCGATCCTTCCGTTAAAAATTTGATGACGAGGCTTGTTATTTCACTATTACAAGATGACATGTCAAATATTAATACATGTGGAAAACAATATGACAAAAAAGTGATCACATGAAAAAATAATAATATAAAAAAATTAAATAAAAATTTAAAAAGTAAATTCTTTTTTTTTTTTCTTTCTCTTTCCCTTTCTTTTTCCCCTTCCCCTAGGTGCTAGGTTCGGTTGAACCTAGGCGTAGGTTCCTTGAAACCCAAGTGCAGGTTCTTTAGAACCCATGCGTTGGGTTCGGTGGAACCCAGTGTGCCTAGGTTCCTTCGAACCCAGCATGCCTGGGTTCCATCGTTGGGTTCCCACGCGTGCTGGGTTCCTTAGAACCCATGCGCTGGGTTCCACTGAACCCAGGATTTTTGGGTTTGAGTTCTTTTTTATTTTTTGGTTTTGTTGATTGATGAAGATGAAGAATTGATTGATGAAGAAGGCAAGGTAAGGAAGTGGAAGGAGAAAGAAAGGGTGCTGTTAGGTTCGAAAGAATCCATGAGCAAAAACTTTAAAATAAAATTTTGTTTATTTGGTGAGTTTTATTGTTTGATGATGATGATAATGAACCTAGTAAGAGTAGAAATTGGTTGAAATGAATAGATGAGTTGAGATGTTACAAATTGGCTGAGATCTTAGAGTTTGCAGGGGGTTTGCAGAAGTTGAAGAAAGGGTAGATGAAAGAAAGGAAGGAAAAAAAAAATTTTTTTAGGTGGGATGAGTTAAAATGGCTGTGTCATTTATTTTTGCCAACTTGGCAATTTTTTGTGTGACATGTAATGTTTCTTTTGTATTTAGCCATCAATTAACGTGAAAAATTAATGAAAGGATCAAATTGAGATAAAAATGATAAATAGTAGGGATCAAATCAGAGATTTTTTAAGTTTAGAGATGAAATCTAAGTTCCGTACAATAGTTCAAG